TCGGTCCGCTCGCACGTACGTTGAACATTCTTAGTCGTGAACTTGTCAAATGATCAGACAGTAGATACGATAAGAGTGCTGCCCTTGTCCAAGAACATTGAATTTCACTTTCGAATCAGAGAGATCCGTCATCCATATCCTACCAGAAAATCTTCCTGCTGCCCATCTGCCATGGCTGGCTGGCTGGCTAGCTGTCTGTATAGAGCTTGTTCCCACGAAACGACAACATCAATCTTTCACCACCAAGTCTTCGCATAATCAAATCAATTGCATTTTATATTTATGTGACTCATCCCAGAGAATAATGTAGTTGTACGTGTTTGGCAACAGGCATCGGATGGATCATGGATGGATGCTGTAGCGGAATAACAATAATAATAATAATGCATACGCGTCCCGGCCAAGGTTCCGAAACTCAGACCGTTCATTGATCTAGAAAAATGAATAGGTCAAAGGTCACTGGTTCAACCGTTGAGCTGATCATTATTAATCCGTGATGTCATAAATATTATTAATAAATATTAAACATTTAAAAAACAAGCAAATATTAGTAGAAACTTAAGTCATATTGTTAAACGTAATCACTTCAATTCTCATTCTATTGTTCTAAATAGTGTATTATTATTTGTTTGAGACTCAAAAATAGCTTTTATAAGTTAAAGGATTTTAAATAGTGTATTATTATTAATTTTTCTAAATTATATGATAAAAAATGAAAAGGCATTAACAAATAAATGAGATGCATTCAAGATTTAAAAAATAACTAATATAGTCAATTATATGTTATAAATGTTAAACATGAGTTAATATGTAATTATGGAGGAGAGATAGAAATGAGTAGAATAAGGCAATAATTGTTATTGTATAATTAATTGGAGATAATTATGCATGGGTAATTCATAAAATATTAAATTTGGGATGTCATTAATATGATTAGTTGACCAAATTCAAAATTATTGGCTTAATTAAGGTTGGATATTGAACCGATCGGTTCTCACAAAATCGCTATGGGTCAATAGTTCAGTGGTTGAACCAGAAGGTTCAACTGGTTTAAATATAAATTGATACTGATTTTTTAAGCAAATTCAGATCGAAAAAAAAAGGCCGTTCGACGGTTCAATCGGTTCGACCGATCGGTCCGGGCTATGTTTTAAAGCATTGGTCTCGGCCTCGATCTTTTGTCTCTTTTGATGTGTACGTGCACCTCCAATTCCAAATACTAATACAACGTAGATACATGAGACTGCTAGGAGGAGAATTCGTGTTTTCTAGAGGAGAGGAGACTAGTCTGGAAGCTCAGCATCATTCGCTTCCTTGACTAATCATCAGTAGTATTATTGATGTCATTTTCGTTCTTATTAATTGGCGTTGCACATACTCATGCATGCTTGGTGTGCAGAAAGAAAGAAAGAAAGAAAGAAATGCAGTGAGCAGTGGAGATGTAAATGGAATATGAATGGACCTTTCTATGAGAGAATCAGACAATTCCAAAAGGCAGATAATTAGATATTGCATATGCCGGCAATGCATGTGATGCATTGATCATTGCCTTTCTCAATCCTGGGAGGAGGATGAGGAGGATGATAGCTCTGTGCCCGACTTTGCCTAATTCATCTGGACCACCGCTCCTTCCTTGATTTTTTTTTTTTTGGTTGCCCGCCCGGTATCCGAAGCTTTGCCTCGACTAATCCGGACCCGACCCGTGTCGCGCACCTGGCTATGGTGGGTGAGTCTCCCAACAGGGATGTATGCGTACACTAGGACTCGAACACGAGACTTGCTTAAGCGAATCCGAGCCGCTTACCATTCGGACCAACCCCTGTTGGTCCGCTCCTTCCTTGATGATTTTGATTTTCCCCACCACAACCTACGTTATATCCTCGGCTAATTCCTCAAAATATTATTGGAAAAAGAAAAAATCGCACAACTATTGCTCTAGCAAAAGTATTTTCTAATTATATGTTTGCCATACTGACAGACAAAAAAAAAAAAATTCTTTTTTTAAATATAAAGTATTAACGTGTCAAGTCAGCAAGGTAGGTACAAACATTTTTGTTTAAATATAAACACCTTTTTTCAATAATATTTTGAGGAATTAGCCCACAGCCTCAAAGTCCTTTTTTTTTGGGAGAAATGCCAGTGGTTTATTTTCATTTTTGTGTTTTGGGTATGGGGTTTGGGGGTAGGGGGGGGGGGGGGGGAGGGAGGGGATGCGAGCTTTGAAAGTTCACATTCTTGAAATGCGAATGCGAGGATAGCATACCTTCTGCTCTTCTCTGTTGTTTGCAAGGAAGAGAATCCATTTCTTTCTCCTTTCTTGACACAAATACCAATTTATCCAATGAATAATTCGAGTCTCTCTAACAAAAGTTTGCCATCATCTGTATCAAAATCAACAACCACGAACGAGAAACATTGTCCATTTTGCCGAAAAATGAATCAAAGTTTAGTAAATGCAGCTGTACCTCGCACTTGCAAAATGCGAACTCATCATCATGCACACATTTCATTAATGTGAAGACCCCCTCTTGTTGGAAGCACATATCACAGTCTTCCCTTTTGCAGAATGATTTTATAATTCATCAAAATCTTGGATTTTTCTCTATATTCCCTTCCCTCTTTATACAAGGTTCGAGATACTCATCCATCAAAAATTGCAACATATTCAACCCACCCTCAAAAAAAAAAAAAAAAAAAAAAATTTACACACACACACACAAGGTTGTTGGTGGAGTGCTTAGTTAACGCCTCTGTGATGTGTGTCTCACCACGAATTGACTCCACAGTCCACACCATAGATGCTACTATTGGGATACGGATTGTTGGATCCTTGGACTTCGCCTAACTCATCTAAATCCTGTACAAGTATAAGATCTAAACCCCTCTGCCTCGAGTAAATTTGATGGGATTGCGTGTAGGATAGTAGAATTACCGCACATTGATCTTGCGATCTTAAAAATGCAAGCCAAAAGGGGCGTTGTTTGCACAAAACTCTGTTTTCATAAATTTCTTCAATTATGTGTTCATTTTATAGAAAGCTTTTAATCAAGGGATAATTTTAGAAACCATCCCTGAGGTTTCTGACTATTTCAGGAAGCTCTCCTCTAGTTTAAAAAATTACAATTACCGTCCCTATGATTAGCATTTTAGTAACAATATAGATCCAGTATGCTAAATTTGTTCTCAAATATTCTAAAATACCCCTTCATTACTTAGAAGGATGAAAAACTCACTAATAAATTTCTTCCACATTGCAACTATTGTAAACGACATAAACACCATCCTAACGAATTCAATAAATCATTTCAACTTACTCTTCATGTTTTCACAATTTTGACAGTTTACTATTGCCGCCTCAAAGCTTCCCATGCAAATCAACTATGACAATTAAAATTTGCATTCGATCTAATCTTTGGCCTCATTTTTTTCTGCCTAAATTCAGTGTTTGAATTGATCAATGTCACTTTACAAACTCAATATAAATGACTATAACCATGTTGATGCTAAAATAATCTAACCCACCAAGAATACCAACACGGAGCAACCAAAAGCAACACTAGAGACCATATCCCATGTCTTTAGCCAAATCTGATTGCAGTTTTTATATTTTAAAATTCCTTTTTACACAATTGGCATAATAACGTAACCTTCCTCAATTTATGTTCCCCTTTTAGTTATCACTTTCATTTTCTCGTCTGTACTCTATATCATTGCCATCCTTTTTCACCTTCATTTAGTTTGACAACAAATTTAATTTGACAACTTGTCGCTTGGCAATTTCAATTCAATAATACTTACAAAAAATGGACAAATGATCTATTTCCATAATATTGAGGATTTGAGATGTATTAGATGGTTGTGTATATGGCAATTGCAGAAAAATAATGGATTATGAGATGTAAGAGAAGGAAGATAGGAGAGAGAGGTGGAAAGAGAGAATAAAAGTTTATTTTGTATTGTAGCTGTTATTTTAGAATGCAAGACTAGTTGTAGTTGTTCGATTTTTTGTTTGTAGGAATTATTTATAAGTGAATGATATTATAGTCATTTTACTACATGAAGGAAGATTAGTATAATTATTCAAACCTAAAGGGAGGTGAGTGAAATTGTTAAAAATTTTGATGGGAGGTTTCTGAAATTATCCCTTTAATCAATTAAGATATATTTTGATATGTTTTACTATATATATAATATTTATTTATCCTACTAGCTATATAACAAATAATGTGCTAATGACCAATAAATATCATAATTAACTAAGTACGTGGTGATAAACTATTAACATTATAAACACATATGTAAAGTCACACTTTTAAACTATTTTGTCCAGCTATTGTGTTTGCATCTAGGTAAAGAAAGAACATAACTTTTTGTTTAATTGACATACATATCCAATATCTTGTATTAACCTCAAAATCTCTATTTAAATTTTGGATTGCTCTCAATATTATTATATAGCACACGTTTAACCTTAATTAGCTATACCATTATATTGAATGCACTGCATTATCCTTATACTATATAAAAAGAAGTTTGAGTTGTAGTGGTGACCTTGTTTTTTTTCTTTCTGCCTATTTAGGGGTGTAATCGAATTTTTGCCCATTTGGGGTTTTTTTCTTTCTACAATTACACAGTATTTGTAGGTTGTACCATTAATAGTTGCTGCCATGCTTGATTTGGCAAGTATAAATCTCTATCGTTCACTTTGGCAAAAGTTTACAAGTTACTTCACTTCAAAGTAGCAAATACTCTCAATTTAATCCCAAGTTTAGATTTTTCCCAATTTGGCACAATTTTTTTGGACTAAGCTGGGACTTTTTCCCCCCAATTTGAGGGATTAGTTCCAATTTTTTTTTGGGACCATTTCAGTTCTAAGGACTAAATTGAGACGTTTGCTATTTTGAAGGACCAAACTGAAATCGTAGCTCGCTTTAAAGGACCAATTTGAAATTCACCGGTACCACTCCTTAAACCCTAATTCCTAAACCCTTTGCCACTTCGTCGCTCGCTATTTTCTTCCTTGCCCTCTTCAGTTTTGATTTTACTTACTTTGTCGAAGAAGCAGCATGAGACCTCCAAGAGGGCGCGGGGGAGGCGGATTCAGGGGCGGCAGGGACGGAGGCCGCGGAGGACGAGATGGGGGGCGTGGTGGGTTCAGGGGAGGCGGTCGCTTTGGTGGCGGCGGCAGAGGAGCCTTTCGCGATGAAGGGCCCCCTGCCGAAGTTGTTGGTCAGCTCTTGTTTCTCTGTCTCAGTCTCCGTATTACTCTTGCAGTTCGAATAGTTGATTCATTTGAGGGGTTGGTCTTCTTCTTTTCTGTTTTGCGTTTTTATTTATGCTGCATTTTTGTTGTTGTATATTTTGCAGAGATTTCTACATTCCTCCATGCATGTGAGGGTGATGCAGTGACAACGCTAACAAATGAAAAGATTCCCTATTTCAATGCACCAATTTACCTTCAGAACAAGACCCAGATTGGCAAAGTTGATGAGATTTTCGGACCCATTAATGAGTCCGTGAGTCCATTGTCAATCCCTTTTGCTTCTTTTCTGTGTTCTTTAACAATTATAAAGTTTACATTTTTTAATTGGTTTATTTCTTCTTATGGATTAACCTTGCAGTTTTTCTCCATTAAAATGATGGAGGGGATTGTAGCCACGTCTTATTCAGCTGGAGATAAGTTTTACATTGACCCTGCTAAGCTTTTGCCGCTCTCTAGATTCTTGCCCCAACCCAAGTATGTATTTTCTTCTAGCTTTATGTCTGAATCTTGCTTGTATTAAATTTATCGCTTCTTATCAATTAGCATATTCAAAAATACTTTTTGGTTAGGTAGACATTGCCACTTCTATTGAAGTTGTTGCTCATAGTTTTCACTCTTCGGGGTAAGCAACGTTTGCGATACTATTTTATGTTACTCGTCATAGCCGGAGCATCAACCCCAACCATTTGCACTTATAATATGCACAAGATGATGGTTCAGCAACTCAGTTATCTAGAAATGTTGAGATTGAATCAGATTCTTTGTCAGTACAGTGTGAACCAGGAATTAGCTTTTTAGTCATGTTTCCTGACAAGCTAGTCTAAGATTGGTGTTTGTTCCTTCACCTACTTGTCATTGAACCACTGTGCTAATGACTAGCCACCGTATCCCGATTCCAGGACCAATTTAATCTCTTAACTTACTTCTTTTGATTTCTCTAATACTCTGAAATCTTAGCTGTCACCTTCCTCCAAGTTTGTAAAGTTGTAACACTGTTAACCAAGATAAATTTTCTTTATTAATACTCGTCTTATTTTCACTTTTACATTTTGCTCTGAAATCTTGGGTATCTCTCTTCTTCGAAATTTTCATTAAGGCCTTAACAGTGTCAACCACAAATAAAATGGTTTAGTATGAGCAAAAGTGTAAAGTATCTGAAACTGAAACTGAGACAGAGTACCCATTTGATGATATATTAAGTGGATTACTAAGCTGGAAATGAGGTGTATCCCTGAATCTTACATAAGGCATTTGAATGATTGATATTTGGGTTATTTTGAAGAGGACATTTGGATCCTTGGCCGTGAGTGGTTGCTCAGTGATTGAAATTATTGGTTTGTTACTGATAATTGTGTTGCTTCTTAAGATGGGCAAAAAGATAGATGTAGATATATTATGTAGGTATCTATGTTCACAAATTCTTTAAATGTTTTTATTGGTGCACTTTTCTAATATAGTATATAGTAGCTTTGGCTCATAAAATCCCATTTATCTACACTGGTTCATTTTCTGACTCCTCTTACGTTGGATGTTGTGCTAAAACTTTCAGGGGACAGGCACAAGCTGGTGGCAGAGGTGGAGGGCGTGGAGGAGGGAGAGGTGGTGGACGATTTGGCGGACGTGGCGGGGGTGGGTTCCGTGGAAGAGGTGCACCACGGGGTGGAAGAGGTGGTCCAAGAGGTGGTGGCCGTGGAGGTGGCTTTAGGGGCAGGGGAAGATCATAGAACGAAATTATGTACTTCAATGTGCACTGTTCTTGTTTTAGCTGTTAATCTATGATTCGATTTCAAGCTGGCTGAAACGCTGCCATTATTATCCACCTTCAGTCGTTAATGGAATCAACAGCTATCTAGTATTGCAAGTTTCTCTTTAAAAGTTTAAAGCGCCCGAGTTTACTCTTTATAAATTGAATTGAACCCCGTGCGGCTCTGTGTGCTGCATTTACTTTTTGTCCTCTTTTTTGTGGGTGGGGTTGGTCTGGCTGGTGGGAAGATGCTTGATTTGTATCGTATTCGTACGTCTTCATCTGCCAAATTCATTTCATGTAGCTATTGCACATTAATTGCTTTTTCCTTCTTCAGCTAATCCATTTTAGTTTCCCTTCTCCATAAGTTTGCAGAAAATGCATACTTGACAAGAACTTTTGAGTTGTAGACCACTACATTTCACAACTCAAAGTCCCGTGTAATGATGTTACAAAGCCTAACTGAAGTTGTCATCAGCGAATTTTCCAAGATTATTCAGTTCTGCGGTTGATGAAGAGTCAGAGGCAAAAAAATTAAACTAAGACATCTTAGGGACAAAACCGTGATGCACTCTTCAACGGATCAGGGTCAGAAAAATTAAGATTACAAATCATCATAGGGTCAAAACTTATTTCTAAAATCTATTGCAGGATCAAAGCAGTAATTTGAACCAGATTTAAGATGAAGATCTCATCTAGATTTACTGGAACCTTCGTCTTTATTTAACCGACAGTGTCTCAGGCTTCCCATCCTCTAAGAACCGTTGCCCTGGCAACACGGTTGACACCTAGAGTGAAGGCACCCATCCGGAGATCACAGTTGTGAGTGTTGCACATCTCCTTGACGTCTTTAAATCCTCTAGTCATGTATGTCTTAAGCTCTGCATTTACTTTCTCTTCGTCCCACATAAACCCTTGAATGTTCTGCATTACGAAAAATCAGATTGCATTGTTTTCTAATAAAAAAGACGAAGAGGGAAAAAAGAAGGAAAGATATAGAAAGGGACCAAAAAGTACTCAAGGTGCTGAACTAAGAATAGAGGTTTCCAGGAATATCATGAAATGAAGCGCTAAATGGATACCTGAACCCACTCGAAGTAACTGACTGTCACACCTCCAGAATTTGCATATATGTCTGGGAGTATAACAACTCCCTTCTTTGTTAATATCTATAAAGCCAAGCCAAGGTTAGTTAAGCTGCTTCACTGCACAAGTTCTTTTGCTTTGAGACACTATGCCTTTTGATCTCACATACTAACCTCATCTGCCTCTGGATCAGTAGGATGATTAGCTGCCTCGATTATAAATTTGGCTTTAATATCTTTTGCATTATCCCTTCAATCAATTCAAATGTCCATTTGTATTGTAAGTAAGAAAGTCACATAAAAGCAAGATACCAAGTGTCAGACAAAATCTATGTTAAGGCCAGAAGAACCACCTATTGATAACGCCTCCGAGGGCTGCTGGAATAAGAATGTCACAGTCTTCAAGCAAAATAGAATTGGAATCAATGCTGTCAGCACCACAGAATCCTTTGACTCCGCGGTTTTCCCTGACATGCTTGAGCAGGTTTGGTACGTCAATTCCCTTACTGTTCTTTATGGCTCCTGTTATATCACTTACAGCAATTACCTTTCCCCCTTGCTCACTGATAAGTTGGGCAGCCCAGGATCCGACATTACCAAATCCCTGAAATCAAGAAGAAAATTCAATGATCATATGACACTTGATAATTTTTGACTCTTTAACTCACTATCTCTTCTCACAGAGTCATGAGACACTCTGTGATGCAACTTCTAAGTCCTCAAGGAAGGCTTTTTGAATGAACTAGTAGTTTCAACAAAGTGCATCCCACAGTATTCGAACATATCAGACACTGAAGGTACACTTGAAACTACAAATGCATCCCATAGTATTCAAACATATTAGAAACTGAAGGTACACTTCCCAGTGGTGTTACCTGTACAACAAATCGCTGCCCAGCGATACTCTTTCCATATTGATTAAGCAGGGCTTCAGTTGCAAAGAGTACTCCCCTCCCGGTTGCTGCATCTCTGCCTAGGGATCCACCAAGATCCTGTCACCCAAGAATTTTAAATGAGGAAAATTTTCTGAGGTTCAAAATCTCAGAAATCCAAGAAGCACACTGATCCTTGTACACTTGGAATTGGATAACTTACTATAGGTTTTCCAGTTACTACTGCAGGTGAATAGCCATGAAATTTAGAGTACTCATCCAGTATCCAAGCCATTGTCTGCTCAAATGCACGGCATTTCAAATCCAGTTAATTGGATGAGCTTCATAGACAATGTTGTGTTGATCACTATCTTTTTCTCCAAAGCAAAAATGTCAACTAGCTATGTGCTCCAATCATATCATATTGTTGAAAACAAGTTTTGCACTGACCTGTGCATTTGTTCCCATATCAGGCGCAGGAACGTCAGTGTGAACTCCGATCAGATCATGAATTTTTTGCGTGAAAACTCTAGTAAGTCTTTCAAGCTCAGAGATGCTCAAATCCCCTGGATTACATCCTATCCCTCCTTTAGCCCCACCATATGGTATATTGGCCACTGCAGTCTTCCAGGTCATTAGTTGTGCTAAAGCATTCACCTCATCAGGGTCAACCTACAGCACCATAATCTTATTTGAGAGAGAAATGAGAACAAGAGAATATCCAAACTCTGGAAATTAAATCTCATATAATCTGGAAGAAATAGGTAAATGCAAACTGTCTACACCTAGCCATCTATTGTCAAATTGTAGTGTAGAAAAGAATTACTGCTGAATCATTAGAGATTATCATAGCTAACATATCTGAAGATTTAAACAACCTCTGGGTGGTATCTGATCCCCCCTTTCATGGGTCCTCGAGCATTGTCATGCTGAACTCTAAATCCAACATAAGAGGCCAAAGTACCATCATCTTTTGGTATGGTACATTCAACCTGCAATTGAGTAGGAAGTAGTGGCAAAACATAAGTCAAACATATGAGATGTTAATAAGTCAAAAATATTAAATCACTGAAATGTTGGCAGTTTATGTACTCTTATCGTAATCAGATATAGATGATTGAACATCACAACATATGTTAACTCAGGTTTGAATGGGTTGTCCTGAGCCAAATGACGATGATGGTAAAATAACCCGGCTTTGAAGTCAACGAATTACTCTAGCACACAGTAAGTATGAGGTAATAAAAAGTCTAAAACACGATGTGGCTTAGCAAATGACAGTGAAAACTTTTGGCAGCACAAACCACAGAGAAGAAAAGAACAAGAAGAAAGAGCATTGGCACCAGAGCCTTGAAGTCCTTAATGAACTTATATTTACTCTGGCAACATGTAAAGCTTCAGGGACAAGGGAAGAACAAATGTGTGGCATTCCAGCTAAACAGACATACATTGCTGATGACAGAGTGGAAAGGTGAAAAAGACAGAGAAAGAGCAGTGTGAGGAACCTTAATTTCCCTGAATGGGATCAGTAAGCTCTTCTCCAGCTTCGAGTCCAAGCCTAGCAGACGAGCAGCGAGCCTAAAGTTTCTGTTTGTAGCAACTAATGCATTCATGGTTTGTATACGAACTGCCTGAACAGCAATCAACAGAGAGGGAAAAACAAAATCAGATCCTGTGGAGGCTGAATATTCCTCTCGAGAACGATGCGAAACTGCAAATAGCTGGGTTCGCTGCAATTAGTTGATGATTATATGTATAATCTTGAAGGGATGAATTAAGCAACCTGCACTTGGCCCGATAAATACTTCTCAAAAGGAACGTGCAGAAAGATTTAATCGTATAAATGGTCTAATCGGAGCATGTGAGACACCATTCAGATCTCTCACCAGACATTAGAAAACGTCCCAAATTATTCTTAATTACCATCAAACTTGATAGGCCAAGACAGTGGCAATTAGATAGAGCAATATCATTGTTTAGACAGCACTCCTTATTGGTCCCCGGCATCATATTATATTTAGCGGCTCTTCTATAGTGTTTGAATGGGTCAAAGTATGTTGGGATGAGCAATTCTTAATCACTATTTCTATCTCATATGCTACTAGCTAGCTGCTTGGCAATTGGGACTGTCAAAACCTTGTAACCGACAAAGTATTCTGTGTATTTTGCCAAGATGGACTCCGGATTTTAGGATCTTTGTTCATATGTCTTCTATGAGATGAGTTTTTAATTGGTAGTAATTCAGAAGCAGCATCTCCAATTAACCACGTTTATGAGAATGCAACAGATGTTACCTAACTGGGCTTCAACCTTCTCCTCTATATCCTTTTCTTGAAACTAGAGACAGACAGCATCAAGACAAATTGGAGTACCGGTTAGTACCGTTACCAGAGGGTAGCTGCCAGAGGTTACAACACCCTGCAGCTAAAACCAATTAGCTAGTTCAATCTATCTCAACCGGAATACTGTCGGTGCATTCTACAGTGTACGACGAAACTACAGAAAATTTTAGTACTATATTAGATCAAACTCGGAACGTAACTGAACAAATTCCAGAGTGGAGACAAGTCGAGGATGTAATATCGAATCATACCTTAATTTATTGAGAATTTAGAGCCTCGAGAGAGAGGGTTAATACTGGAGAAGCTGGTGCAGACAGTAAATTTAGCCAGGTGTGATGGGCGGTACGGCCCCCGGCCTCTCCCAAGGCTTTTTATGCAGGCGATGAGCGCCAGCACCCCAGTATTATTCTACAATCGAGTGGATTCAGGGCTATGCTGACGAAACAACAAGACGTGGAATCAGAATTCATTCCACTTCAATTCAGGAATCTCATAGATGTAGCCACATCCCAAGCTTTTGGGGATATTTGTGTATATATAGAGACTTACATACGGATCTATAAAAAGTAAAATAGCGTCATCAGCAGCAGTAGGTAGTACCACTAGTACTGGCTATTTCACCCATAAAGAATATGAATGTGATTCCATTATGTAGGCTGTGGTGGGATATTGATTAAGGGTTGAGTTGAGTCGAATTCGAGTAATGTTACACTTGAACTCAAATTTGAGGATAAGCACGTCTATTCGAATTCGACTCGAGCGAGAAGAAATTTACGTAACTTGACTCAATTCGAGGAAAAAACAATTAAACCTGATTTCGACAACCTTAACGAGCTCGAGTACTCAAAAACTTGAAATACAAAATTCATGTAAAATATAAACCCTTATTGGTTATTTCATAATTAATATAAATATATTATATGAATAATAAAATTAATTGAGCTACTCAACAAGCACTCGAGTTGCACAAAAAGAGGCTCGAACTCGATTTGATTCCTGCGTTGAATTACTCAAATTCGAATCAAGTCA